GCAATGGATGAGATTGTCGACTGCATCACCAAGCCCAGGTTCTTCCAGAAACTTATCATCATCCTAGCAGGATACGACCAGGACATCAATCGTCTCATGACCATCAACCCAGGCTTGACCAGTCGGTTCCCGGAAGAGCTTGAGTTCGCCAGCCTTACACCCGACGCTTGCATCCAGCTCCTCACGAAGCTGCTCCAGAAGCAAAAGTCCGATTCCTCACAGAAGACCACCGGGTTTGACCTGGACGCATTGGAGTGCCCGCGGGCCGAGTTCACCAAGGAGTTGCGGGGCCGATTCACGAGACTCACGCAGACCGCGAACTGGGCCAATGCGCGTGACGTCCAGACCATCTCGAAATCCATCTTCAGAGCTGCGATTATGACCATGCGCGACAAGACGATCGTCATCTGCGAGGAAGTCATCAGCGGAGAGATCGACAAGATGCTGTCTGAGCGCACCAAGCGCACAGCAAACAAATCCGTCTCCCGGAACCCTACGCTCGATCTACTCCAATCCCAGGGTTTCGGTCGGCAGCCAGCCTCTCCGGTGCTAACCACATCATACAGCCCGCCTGCAGCCTCCGAGGACGCAGCAGCCGCAACCAAGAAAGAACCCGCTGCGCCTCCAGCGACCCCGGCACCGGAGGAGACCCTTTCGGGCGCTATCGCCAGGGACGATGGGGTGTCGGATGAGGTATGGGAGCAACTAGGACGCGACAGACAAGCCGCACAGGCAGCAGACGACCGATACAAGAGGTTGCTCGCCGACGAGCGCGAGGCGGAGAAGGCAGCTCACGACCTACCTTCCGACCCCCCCGATTCTCCGGCCAGATCGTCTGACCCCGAAGTCGACGCGGAAGCTAAAAGGCAGCGTGAACAGCGCCGGCTCGAAGAGCTGGCCAGACGAGCTAAGCTGGATGAACTTCGGAGGCAGCGTGAGTTGGAGGAACAGGCCAGGAAGAAGGAACAACAGATCCAACGGAAGCTGCGTTCTATGGGCGTCTGTGTTGCTGGGTTTCAGTGGGTCCAACAGGAGCGCGGGTATAGGTGTGCGGGAGGCAGTCATTACATCTCGAATGAGGCTTTGGGGGTTTGAGTCGGCTTGCTGGGATAGTTTGAGGATGGCTTGGTTGTAGATCATTGATCGTTTGTGTTTTAAGCTCATACTCGAAGTGAAGATGTCAAGAACGCATGTTCTGTATACACGAGGATTTTTGTCCGTCACTGGATTTTTGGAAATTGTGCAAAGCCTGGTCATGATCATCGGTTGAAGGCGAAGGGCACTTCGAGCGGGTAGAAGACGGAAGATATCATTCTTTTGGCTTTGGCTTTTTCTTTTTCTTTTTCTTTTTCTTTCTATTTTTTTGATTATTTTTTTTTATTTATTTTTTATTTTTTTTTTGAAGTCAAGAGCTGTATTCAAAAATTCCAGTTTAGTCTCATCTTTTTATTAGATTTAGTACTGAAGCAAGACTAATTTACTCGTAGGTAACTTAATGTAAGCTGTTAAGGTAGTTGTGCTACTTATGAAGAGGTTAACTTAGCTATGCTGGTCTGATGAGTCATCTGGCACTACTTAACTAACTAATGTGCGACAGCGGCATCAGCAGCGGCATAAGCAGCGACATCGGAACTCTATATTCTTCCAGGCATCCTCCGAACCCGTGGGGAAGGGGAATCGAAAAGCGAGGACAGTACGGGGCATGGGCTGATTTCTTCAGTTATATCTTTTACTCGATCTCATCGAGTCAGCGGGCCCCGGAGGTGATTAGATACTATCAAACTAAGCGATATTGAGAGATACGCCCCACCAGGCACCTTTGATTTTTGCGGAGAAACCAGTGGAGAGGGATTAGTCGCGCTCCACTCGCGCTGATAACGCTCGCTGGCCAGGAATTAGAATTTGCTTACTCGACCGAATCGAGCAACGAAAAATGATATCGATCTACGATAATCAATTCATCAGTGGCACAGTGGCACAGTGGCACCGTAGGTTGGTTGGTTAACTAACTACTGGCACGGGTGCCTCAGCGCGCTCGGTGCTCCCGTTCCACCATCCATGGCGGGCGATAAGAAAGGCCCATGGCTGATGGATGGATGATCTTCGGCCCATCTGACCAATTTTCCCAGTTCCTTATCTTGCGTCAAGGAGGCGGAGGGGCGCAGAGTCGAATTGGTCCTTTTCGTCCCTTTTCATGTCATGATGGCGTACGGGGAAAAAGGCCACTATCAGGGGCCCTCTTGGCTCTGCTGATTGGCTTGCCGAGAGAATCAATGACGAGGGCGATGATACGGTACGTTCCGACTCAATTTATCTTGATAGCATCTGCTACTATATAAATAAGGTATACTAATACTATACAACGCTGCTATGGCTGCCTGGCTTAGCCTGTTCTTTATTACTTCCCTCTATCTCCAGCGCATACCTCCCTGCCCTCCCATCTCCCATCAAGCAGGTTGAGTCGCTCGTCCGTCCATCCACTCATCGTCGAAGGAAAGGCTCTGGAAAGGCTCTGGTCCCCCTAGACTCGCTCCTTCCCCCGCCAATCTTGTATATACCTGTCGGCGTGGTGAGATTTCGACTAGGCTGGCCTAGCTCTAGCTTCTGAGTGCATTGCCTACTCCCTCCCAACATCGCTCATTCCTACTATCTCCACAGGCATGGAAACAACTCGTCTGCAGCGATGGCTGAAGAAACTAGAGGTGTCTGCGGAGCCGGGACTGTCCAACACTCAGTTGATGTTGATGAACCATGATTTACAACCAGGTACGTTGGTCGATCTGTGGACGGGTCGCTGTTTGCGGCGTGATCCTCTCTCTCTGGCTCTCGCGCACGGACTGACCGTGATGGATTCGGATTCCTGCAGTTGAACATGAACGTCGACAATGGGGATGGTACAACTTCGTCGCCTTTTGGGTAGCAGATTCTCTCAACATCGTGAGTACTACTGCGGGCATCTTCGCCGGCCACGGCCTGCCGCCTTCCCGGCTGACTAAAATCGCCTGTTCGACTAGAATACCTGGATGATTTCCTCCTCGATGATTGTGGATGGCCTGTCATGGTGGCAGTCGTGGATATGTGTCTGGGTCGGGTACTTCATTGCCGCCTGTTTTGTGTGCTTGACGGGTCGCATTGGTGCCGTCTACCACATCTCCTTCCCTGTCGCCTGTCGCTCGAGTTTCGGTATCTGGGGGTCTTTCTGGCCCGTATTCAATCGAGCGGCCATGGCTGTCGTGTGGTACGGTGTCCAAGGCTACATCGGAGGTAAGGAAGCCCTGGCGCCGTTGCTACGCGAAACCAGCCGCAACGGCTTGATCGGAGTATATCTGATGTGTAACAGGCGAGTGTGTCACCCTGATGATTCGATCCATATGGCCCAGCTACAACAACCTGCCCAACGGGATCCCTGCCAGTGCCGGCGTCGACACGAAGAACTTTCTGAGTTTCTTCCTGTTCTGGCTGCTATCGCTGCCCGCGCTCTGGTTCCCCGTGCACAAGATCCGTCATCTCTTCACCGTCAAGGCCATCTATTCGCCCATCGCTGCCATTGCGTTCTTCGCCTGGGCCATCTCCCGCGCCAACGGAATCGGCCCCATTGTCCACCAGCCCGCCTCGGTACATGGCAGCGTGCTGGCCTGGGCCGTGGTGAAATCGATCATGAGCTGCCTGAGCAACTTCGCCACTTTGATCGTGAATGATCCGGATTTCTCCCGGTTCTCGCGGACACCGAAGGATGCGCTGTGGTCTCAACTGCTTACCATCCCGATCGGCTTCGGAATTACCTCATTCATCGGGATCATCGTTTCGTCGTCGTCGGCCGTAATCTTTGGCGGTGACTTTGTCTGGAACCCCCTGGATCTGCTAGGCAAGTTCTTGGACGGGGCAAGCTCTGCTGAGCGCTTCGGGGTCTTCATCATCTCGACGGGCTTTGCTCTGGCGCAACTGGGGACCAACATTTCTGCCAACTCAGTCTCTGCGGGTACAGATATGACGGCCCTGCTCCCTCGATACATTAACATCCGCCGAGGAAGCTATGTCTGCGCCGCGATCGGCTTGGCGATGTGTCCAGTATGATGATCCCTGTCATTATAACTTGTGCAGGGAATTTGACTAACCGAGCCTAGTGGAAACTCCAATCGTCGTCGAACCAGTTCACCACCTACCTGTCCGCCTACTCAGTCTTCCTATCCTCCATTGCGGGCCCCATCGTGTGCGACTACTACATCGTTCGCAAGGGCTATCTCCAAGTGAAGGACCTGTACAACGCGAGCCGCAGTTCCCCGTACCATTACATCTGTGGCTTTTCCTGGCACGCATACGCCTCGTACATCGCGGGCATTCTGGTCAACATTGTGGGCTTTGCCGGCGCTGTGGGCCGGGACGTGCCGGTTGGCGCCCAATACATCTACAACATCAACTACTTTTCCGGGTTCGTCGTGTCGGCCGTAATGTACTATGCGCTGACCCGCTTCTTCCCCATCCCTGGCACCAGCGACACGTGGCATGAGGTCAAGGTGGAAGGTGTGCTGTCGATCGCGGACGGCGAGGAGGTTGACGGCGAAGAGGAGAACACTGCGGGCAAACCGATAGACTTTGCGTCGACTGTTGACCAGAAGCATCCAAAGTCGCGGGCATCCTCGCTTGTATGATGATTGATGTTGAGACACGATTTCTTTTTTTATGATGATGACAGTGCACTAATTTGTTGCCTGATGATGAGCACCACCATTTTTGTAATTTGACACATACCCACACAGAATCATACACTTATCACTCGGTGGTTTTTGCCGGGATAGTTTTGCATGCACATCCATGCTTGATTTCCTAATTTTCTATCCGGTGAGATACTTGTACCTTGTAGCGATCAGATTTACTCCGAGTCCGCGGGTGAAGGCTGCCTGAGGACAGGCGGCTTCAATGGGCACGTGGAGGGAAACACAGTTACTCCGCAGGCTCATACGCTTCTTCCTTTGTCTCGTTTCTCCGACCTGACCTCCTAGACTACCGTGCAGTTGGGCAGTGACTGTCAGGTAGGTTACTAGGTATATGGTACAAAGTCGGTGAGTGATTGCAGCCTTCTAACAGACAAAGCATGTCAGGAAAAAGCAACCCCACGACCATCTCGTGATCACTCTCCCAAAAGTTTCTTTCCGGACTGTTGTTGGTCTAGCATCTTATCCAGTCCGCTACCCCTCTCGTCATCGTCTGCCCTGGCTGGCTGGCTCACGACATCGTGGAAATTTACCTGACTTGATACGCTACGCTACGCGACGATGACTTCTGCCATCCGGCTCGTCATCCAGTTCCTGCTGGCCGATCTTCTCGCCCACGTGCTGTATAGTTACTATTTCCACCCTCTGGCGCGGTATCCGGGACCCTTTCTGGCGCATTTCACGAATATCTGGTATGTCTACATTCTCTTCTGGTTGCAATCTGTAGAGATGGGCTGGGGTGGGCTGTATTTGGCTGTATTTGGCTGTGTATGGCTGTGCTTGGCTGTGTTTGGCTGTGGGGGAACCCAACCTTGAAGATGTGTACCTACTCTGTGTACACCTCATGTGTGTCTATGTGCACGCTAACCCCAAATCCCAAAACCCCCAGGAAATTCGCCAGCTTCCTCCGCGGCCAGCACCATCTCACCGAAGAGAAACTGCACCAGCGCTACGGCCCGATCGTCCGGGTCGCCCCGAACTGGCTCTCGTTCTCGCAGCTCCCAGCCTTCGAGGCCATCTACGGGTTCCACAAAGCGATCGAGAAGGACGACTTCTACACGTTCGGGGAGGGGCGCCGCCGCCGCCCCCAGCGCGACGTCAGCGTCTTCGCCGCGCAGTCGAACCTCGTCCACCGCCAGAAGCGCCGGAGGATGCTGGGGCCGGCGCTGACGCGCGCCCAGATCCGGCGCTACGAGCCGGTGATCGCGAGGCATGTCGCCGTGTTGGTTGGGCGGTTGGAGGAGGAGGTGGTGGCACGGCTGGAGCAGGAACGGGAACGGGAACAGGAACAAGTTGGACTTTTGGGAGAACTGACCGTGACCGTGAACGTGGCCCCGCTCGTCCATCGCTTCACCCTGGACGTGATGCTGGACATCCTCTTTGGGCCGGCGGTGGGTCCGCACCCTTACACGGACAACGATGTCGCGGGCAACCTCGGCGCGAGCATTCGCTACGTGAGCAAGATGGTCTGGAGTTACTCGCTTTGGCCGCTGTTCGGGTGGCTGATGAATACCCGTCTGGCGGTGGCGTGTCTGCGCCGGCCGAGGTATAATGCCGAAGGCGCGATGGTTGGGTTGAACGGGCTCCTGCATCGTGGTGCGGCGGCGATTTTGATGGGTCCGGAGGTCTTTGCCGGGGAGGGGGATTCGCAGCCCGGGATTGTGAAGAGCTGGCTGCTGGGGGGGTTGGGTTCGTCGGCGAATGGTGTTGCAGATCATCATCATCATCATCATCATCATCATCATCAGAAGATGACGCCGGCTGAGGCCGTGTCGGAGGCCTTCAATTTGGTGTTTGCGGGCCCCGGCAGCATGGCGGCCGCGTTGACGGCCATTCTCTACCAGTTGGGCCTTCCGGAGGGTCACATCTGGCAGGAGAAGCTGCGCGCTGGCGTGGAGGGTGAGGCCCTTGAGGGCTCAACCTCGACGGATGCTTCTTCGCTGCCGTTGTCGTCGTCGTCGCTCGAGTTACAAGCCGTCATCAAGGAGACCCTGCGCTTCCGCGCACCCTTTCCGACGGCGTTCCCGCGAGTGATCAGGTCGGGTGCGGAGATGGCCATCCCGGGCCTGTCCCATCCCCTACCCGCTGGCACGACGGTCTCGGCCAGCACGTATGTGCTGGGTCGGTCGCGGGAGATCTGGGGCGATGATGCCGACCGATGGGTGCCGCAGCGCTGGTTGGGTTCGGGGAGCAGCGACGACGACGAAGAATCGCGCCGGCAACTGGACCGCCGGTTCGTCGCGTTCAGCAGAGGGCCCCGGGGCTGCAGTGGACGCGATCTGGCGTCGCTTATTCTTGCCAAGGCTGTGAGGGCGATCGTGCATCGGTGGAGATTCTCTGCTGCTGCGGCTGAACTGCGGGGCTCGAGCTTCCTGGAAATGCAGTATGATCAGTGCCTGCTCCGCTTCGCACGGCGGTCGTCGTCCGATTGATCATCATGACGACGGTGGTAGTTAGTTAGTCGACGGTGGTGACTCAGATAGTATGTCGGGAACCCTTTTGGGATGTCGAAGAAGAAGAAGGCTGAGTCGGAAGCTGAGCTGAGAGGCAAAAGGTGGTGGATGCGATGCGATGATTCCGCTTTGGGACTCCGCCGCGGAGCTTCGTCCCCACCCGTTTACGAGTATATAATGGAGCTTCTTTGGAGCTCTTACTTTTGTCGATCGCTGGATTGAACCCACTCGACAACTTTTCTTCGAATTTTCCCCTTCTCCTTTCTTTTCTATCTCACTACGTATCTGAACAGTGCTAATTGAAGTCTTTTGTTTACCACCAATTCTCCACAAGGGACTACAACAATGCTGTCCGGCGGCGCTCTGCCCCAGACTCTGGGTTCGATCACCGCGACCAAAATCAACGAACTCTCAAAGCAGCGCAATTTGTTCGAGCAACGAAGGAAAGAGATCGCAAAGGCCGCTGAAGACGCCCCCGATCTCCGAACCAAAACCCGAATTCTGTTGGAAGGGGTGACCAGACTCAAGGGCTATCCGAACATCGCTACCGACCGTCACGATCTGGACGCAGACCACTCCGCAGGCGGAGACACTTTCGTGAAAGACCTGTCCGAGGGCGCGGAGTACGCCAATATCCGACGCTTTCTCCTCCAGAGCCAGTATGACCCGTCCGTCTCGGAGCGCAGCCTCAAGGGCTGGATCGCCAAGTTGGAAAAGGAGCTTCAGTTTCTGCAGCTCCGTCACGAGCATGCCTCCTTCTACAGTGATCTGGTGACAGAATGGCTGGGCGACCTCAACGCCGGGGAGTCCGCCGCTCCGAGTGCAGCCGGCGCCGACGCTGGTGCCGACGAGAACAATGCGAGCTTCGAGAAGGTCGGGCGCGCAGAGATGCACGAACAGCGCGCCAAGTGGGAGTCCCTGGTCTTCACCGAGGCGGACATCGACGCAGCGGCAATCCGCACGTACCTGGACGGCATCTTCGAGACATCGACGCAAACCCAGCAGGCGTTGAAGGGGCTCCGCGACAAGATCCGGTCCTTCGGCACCGAGTTCGCGTCCAAGAAGACCTGGTTCAAAGCGAAGGATCTCGCCTGGATCTCCAAGTCCCTGCTGAGCTCGGACCTGCTCACCAAGGAGAAGACGGCCATCCTGAAGGAGTTCATGCGCAACGACGCCGTCGCACAGGAAGTCGCCGACGTGCTCAACATGCGCCTCGGCGCCTTGGACACCTGGGCCTGGTCCGGGGAGGGGATCCCCGTTGAGATGCGCCGGCAGCTGAACGGCAAGTACCGCGTATTTATGGATGAGGATCTGCTGGACAGCCTCATGTTTCAGTACCTTGGCGTGCGGTGGGCGGTGGCTCTGCGATCGGCCCTCGAGGAGTTCCTGGGATCTCCGGCCTGGAAGTCGCTGCGCGATGAGGTCTCGGAGGAGGAAGTCGTGCGGCGGTCGCGATTCAGGAGGGAGTCGGTGAGCCGGAGCTCCGGGGTCCAGTCGGTCCACGCCTTACGGAAGAACACGTTCAAGGAGGAGTACTTCATGACCTCGTTGCCCAGCTCGGTGAACGATACGTCCGACCCCTACGCCGAGGAGGAAGCCGACGACGATGACGATGAGGAAGCGAAGAAGAAAAAGAACGGCATGGAGATCAAGCATTCGCTGCTCCATCTCCTCATCACCGAGTCCCTAGTCTACACCTCCCTGCATGGAGAATTCACGGCCATCCGGTCGGACTTTGAATATTTCGGACCCTCGCTCGCCCACACCACCATCTCTACGGTGCTGGAATACTTTGGAGTCCCGCAGACCTGGCTGCACTTCTTCGACACCTTCCTCAAGGCCCCCATCTCGTTTGTCCAGGACGGCCCCACGGCCTCCGTGTCGGTCCGCCGACGCGGGGTGCCCATGAGCCATGCGCTGTCGGATTTCTTTGGCGAAGCGGTGCTGTTCTGCATGGACTTTGCTGTGAACCAGAGCACGGACGGCGGCTACCTGTACCGGCTCCACGATGACTTCTGGTTCTGGGGTCACGAAGACACCTGCGTCCAGGCGTGGCAGACGATGACCACCTTCGCCGGGGTGATGGGTCTCCGATTCAACGAGGAGAAGACCGGAACGACCAAGTTTGTTGCCAAGGACACGGTGCCACGGCCTCATGGACAACCACCAGCCCGCAAGGAGACGACCAGCGCGTCGCCCAGCGCTCTGCTGCCCCAAGGGGACATCCGCTGGGGCTTCCTCAAGCTCGACCCGGAGGAAGGGCGCTTCATCATCGACCAGGCGCAGGTGGACAGCCACATCGACGAGCTCCAGCGGCAGCTTTCGTCCTGCAAGAGCATCTTCGCCTGGGTCCAGGCCTGGAACAGCTACTTCGGGCGCTTCTTCGCCAACAACTTCGCCACGCCGGCCATGTGCTTCGGCCGCCGCCACATCGACATGGCCATCACGACCCTCAACCGCATCGAGCGGACCCTGTTCCCCGACAATGCCAGCGGCGTCACCGACTACCTGCGCCAGGAGATCGCCCACCGGTTCAAGAACACGGAAGACCTCCCCGAGGGCTTCTTCTACTTCCCCGTCGAATTGGGGGGTATCGAGCTGCTGAACCCCTACATCCCCTTCCTCGCCATGCGCGAGAACATCAAGCAGAGCCCCGCCGCGCGGCTGCGCACGGCCTTCGTCGAGGACGAGGCCGAGTACCTGGAGGTCAAGGAGCGCTTCGTGAACGACGGGCCCGCTCTGGTGGGTGGTTCCAGCTGGAGCAACTACGGAGGAGCAGATTCATCCGAGGTCCCCTCGTCCTCCTCCGCCCTCGCGCTGGCAGAGTACACGCGGTATCCCGAGACCTACAGCCGGCCGCTGCTGCGGGCGTACGAGGACCTGATCCGCGTGCCGGAGGAGGAGAGCGTGGACCAGACGGCGCACTTCCAGCGCCATCAGATGGTGTTGGACGAAGGGATCGAGGAGGCGGCGAGCAAGCGCAAGATCATCTCGGGCGAGTGGTGGGCCATGTCGGCGTACTGGCGGTGGGTGGCGGAGCTGTACCACGAGGATATGACCGACCGCTATGGGAACCTGGCCGCCGTCAGCCGCGAGTACATGCCTTTGGGGGTGATTAAGACGCTGAAGGAGGGGAAGTTCCGGTGGCAGAGCTAGAGTTGTGTCTGGGAGGGAAAAGTCTAAGTCTAGTGTTAATTATCTTCATCGATAGCTTGGTCTAACGCAGAGAATCATGATCTCTTTGAATAATGAATAATGAGGATTCAACCCTTGTAGCCCGCCTCGAAATCATCGAGAAGTTTATGCAGCCGCTCGGTCTCTGCTGCACCCCCAAAGATCGCGCCGTACGACCGCCGACAAAGCCTCAACACCTCCGCCCGACCCAGACGGAAATGCTCCGCCGCGAGCCGATACTCGTTCGACACCGGACTACAGAAGAACCCGACATCATCCGTCTGCGCAGCGTCAGCACCACCACCACCGCAACGTAACCAACCACATCCACCCTCCGGAAAAAAAAGAAGAAGGGTAAAAGGATAAGTACTCACACACAACACCACCACACACTGACCCGTCCCATCGGCCCACCACTCCCCAAAATGATGCTCCGCGAACCCGCCCGCCACCATGCCCGCGTGCACATTACACGACAGACACAGCTCCAGCGCACATCTCCGTTGCCGGATGGCCTGCTTTATCGGGGCCGACACGTGGATCACGTGGCCCAGGCGATCCGGTTCGAAGTCGAGCAAGGTCCGCAACTCCTCCTCCTGGTTCCGGGGTTGGTGGGGGTTGGGGGCCACCTCGGCGAAATGCACCGTCACGCCTAGCCCCACCGCTTTGGCGAGGGCGAGGGCGGGCGCGTACAGCGCGATGTCGCCTTTCGTGGGGTCGCCGCAGATGTCGAGGCCGATTACTGTCCCCCCGGTTTTTCGGGGGTGGGGGTGGGTGCTACGCCTCGTGCTGGGGTTTGGGGAACGGTACTTGATGGCTAGCTGGACGACCTCCATCGCGTCCTGGGCGGTCATGGTGCCCCGGTCGATGGCGAGGATGAGGTTCGTCGTCATCGCTGCTTTCTTCGGGGAGGCTCCGCTTTCGCTGGGGAGCGATGATGTATTTGCGGGGGGCTGCTGCTGCTGCTCCTGCTGCTGCTGCAACCCAAACTCGGCGATTGTGTCAAGCACTGTGGTCAGGTACTCCTCCCGCGTGAACGACTGCGCCGGCGAGGCGCGCGGGATCGTCCGCAGTTCCAGGTAGACGACGCCGTCGGCGGCGAAGTCGGCCAGGGTGGACCGCGTGGCGGCCCGGATGTCGGAGAGGGTGGTCAGGAGGTGGTAGATTGTGTGGGAGAAGGTGGTGAAGAATCTGCTCTTTTGGAGGGCTTTTAGTGTTCTCCTGGAGTTTTTGGGGGGTTGGGGAGGTATGTTTGTAGTGGCTCGATGAAGTGGATGTGCACCAGTCTACGCGGGCTTTGATATCGGGTTGGTGGAAGTGGCTTTCCCAGAGAGTAATGGGAGGTGGGACACGCACGTCTGCAGAGAATAGTCCACTTTGCCGGGGGGCATCGCTACCAGAGGATCTTCCAGGGTGAAGGTCTCTGGGGATTGGGCTTTCTTCTGGGCCCAGATCTCGTGGAGGCATTGTCGGCTTATGCTGCCGCTTAGGTGGGCGTGGAGCTGTAGGGTTGTAGGTTAGTGAATCTTCGTTTGGTTTGTTTGGGGGGAGGGGGGGTGTTGAACGTTGTGGGATTGTGAGGTGTGGGGGTTGGTGGTGGGGAGAAGAGAAGGGAAGAGGGTAGTTGGGGTACCTTTGCATCAGAAAGGATTGCTTGACTTGCCTCGATCTTCGGAAGAGCTCGAGTGAACTCGTCATCTACTGGCTTGGAAAGGTCCATTGGAGATAGCCTCAATAGCTCAAATGCTCGAGATAGTCATTGGGTTGGGTTGTTGACGGGTTGATGGTGCGGGGCTGGAGCGTGCGGAGGCGGGGAGCAAAACACGGTTACACCAAAATTATATCGGACTGGCGGGAGAGCAGGTGACTTCAGCGACTACGATATTCTACAACTTTGAAGTTGTTCTGTTATGTGGAGAACCCCCAAGAACAGCTCTGATCGTGCTTCACCCGTATCAATGACTCTACGTTCAATCCATGAACCATACGCAGTACGATGACTGATTGCAATTAAGTACTGAGCACTTACAAAGGCCGCCTTCGGTTTCAGATCTCCGACATATGAGTCCTATCCAAAGGTATACTCTCTTGAAACTTCAAGACACCGCGGGTAGACAAGTGGCGCAGGAGACGCGCAATGCCCGGCCCAATCGAAACGTGAAACCAATCGCGGGCATGAGATGCCCCAACTAGCGCGTGTCATTGGCGCCCTCATGAAAGCGGTTCAATGCGCATCTAACAGCATGGTATGCGGCGATTCGATGCAGGTAATGACCCTCCCGATGGCTTGAGACTCAATAGGACATAAGCTACTTCTGTCTATGAGCCCGTCTCGCTTAGGGATCTCCAAGGGGGCGGCGGTGTTATCCCGACCCCATCAGTCTAATCAAACGACCAAAACCAGAGAAAGTAAGCAGGTCGATTGGACTTCCGTCAAGAAACCTACTTGCGGCATTAATGCCCTCTGTCGGCGGGTGTTCCTTGAATTCAGACCCCCTTGAGCCAGGGTCCATGGCATCACCCACGCCCACACGTGTTGATCACTGAATGGTCTATAGCTGGAAACCTGGCTTGCTGGACGCATAGGGCGTCGATGCCCTTGCGCAGACGTAGCGCGTCATATTATTGGCTAACCTGTGTCGGCATAGCTCTCCAGAACGTGTCCCACTCGAGTTAGTTTTGATGAGTATATGAAGGATGGAAACGCAATGCGCCCCAGAGCCTGGTTTCATGTAGATGTGCGTTCCTTGTTGTTCTGGAGTGGCTTGTCATGATGGCAGGGACTGAAGACTAGATGAGAATATCGGCAGATCGGACCCAAGAATACACAGGCGTAAGAGACGAGGCACAGAAGAAACTGACAACCACCCTGAGGACTCGGAGCTAGTGGCATGGCCGGCATCACCCGGCTGAAACTGGCAGAGGAAAAGTATCTTCGGTAGCCCGGGTATACCGAGCCCCTCGATATGGCTAAGCCCCATGTCGAATCCGGAGCAGCGGATGGGATGGCAAAGAACGCTATGGTAGAGGAATTCCCGAAGCAGGCGAATGCATGCAAGAATCTAGAGCCACAGCCAACCGGATGATGCCTGTACGAAAGTGCAGGTAAGCATGACACGTGTCGAGAACTAGCTCTTCACCACGAAGGAATTGAGGGCCAGGAGCACTGGGGGAAGGCCAAACCGGTTAGCATTTCCCGTGTGCTGTGCAGTAGCACAGCGCGAACAAGGGCCGAATCTGATAAAGGACCGACCAGGATGGCAGCGCGCGCCGTCTGACTCGACGTTGCTTGTGGAGTTGCAGCAAGGCATCACTGGGCTTGGGAACCGTCCCACGTAGGGCTTTCCGCACGCTCACGGGCTGATCGCTAAAAACGCCTCCCCAGACCACACGGTAATTACTGTAGTTGAAATGGGAAATCGACGGAACGGTCATGCTCCGTACGCTACTCCGTACCGCAGACCCACCGTCAATTCCCACACTACTTGACTGTCCACAGCTTCCAGTATCGTAGGTCTTGTTCTCGAAGGATTCGAGAAACCAGATGACCGGCCCAATCGTCCCTCAGAGGTTTCCACCTGGAACGCCCTACGTTATTTTTAGCCATTGATCATACTCGGGTCAGGAAGCAGTGTCAGTGGACTCAGGATACACCGAAGATTAAGAGTGAGATGTGGAAACGGGTGGGATTTGATCGGTGGCTCGGGTAGACCAAGCCATACCCGAAATGAAGGGCCCTTAGGCCCTGATGGCTCTCGTTTCAGATGCCTAGCGTATTCCGTTTGAGAAGGGCGGTTGCCCATACAGAGTACACTAGGAGGGGTCAACGTCATTCGTGTCCGGATCGGCGACCTTCATGATGAACGTGATAGAGTATCCATTCCATGATGTTCCTAATGTTATTCAGTATGAATGGGCCCGTCTAGAGAATAGTCTTGAGATGGTGAGAGAGACGTCGCACAACTGCAACTACGGACCAGGAATAATTCAAGGAACGAAGAGATGACGAGAATCTCGCCAAGGTGACATCCTCGATTGCCTTATGATTGCATTATCGGAATTCGGCAAGCATAAAGGGGGTTGCCGCTACTCAAGAGCTAAGACTTTTCATTGGCCGATGACAGCAGCATAGCTGGGCCTTGAGAATGTCGTTATGGCATAAGGTGGTCGACGTTCCGTCATGATGCCTGTCTCCGAAAGGAGGCTTTGTGTGTCGTAGTCTGGATCAGAATACATTGTTGTGGACAGCGCAACAATGAGTTGCCACCGCCTTCAGCCAGCCCTGTGCTGTCTGGGGTATGTGGTAGTATTCAGGACAAGGCCAGGGTAATCACCCTCAAGCATAACTAAATAACCGAGAAACCAGTCAGCATTTGTTCATTGATGGAAGAAAAATGATTGAGAAAAGAGCTGCGCCAAGTCGCAATGTCTCAGAACCAGTGTCTCCTTGACTTTTGTCAGGCCGTAGGGCAACCCGATGGTGTCACGGTCCCTATTCGCGATCGATCAAGCGTGGAGTTGTACATAAAGTATCCACCCGAGAATTCGTGGTAGCGAGTCTCTGTCTACCTACTCGTCTCCTCCAAACGAGGTCCGACCCAAGCAAGGGTAGTCAGCATGGATGGGCCCTCTTTTCCCTAGAGACAGGGGACGTCGAAAAGATGGCGAAGCCCCCGCGTCATTTAATGGCGACCGCAGAAATCTCTCGTAACTGACATGCGCCGAGGGGAGAAAGGGGGTGCCAGAGGATGTTTGCTTGCTTGCATGGCGCGAGGGAGACCGATTCGACTTCCCCAGCAAGCCACAATACATTCTTCGGCCGGCGCATCAAAGCTCGATGACGGCCTGGTTGGAATCAAGACTAGGGAAGGTACTCGCCGAGTGATACTATAGTACCCCGCAGCATAACCCAGCATGCTCCGTGCGGTTAGGTTATGATACGGACGAGGATGGAAGAAGGTTGAAGCATCGAAGACGCATCGAAGAATCCCGGGCTGGACGAGGCCCAAGCTGAATTTCCCGCTTCTTCCTTTTGCCTTTTGCCTTTTGCCTTTTGCCTAAGGCACGCGCACACTTCTGCGGTAGTGCATGCGTGCTTATCTCTCTGTTGCTCGGTGGATGATTGAGTGCTCAAAAGGACACGCACTGGTACAGTACACGGTTCTCTTACTTTTACACGCAGGAGCGTTCATTGACTTTCACCCCACTAATAATACGATTCCATACTACCTTATTCATATAAGGCGACGATGGTTCAAGCCGATCATGCCTGCATGTCCTGTATGTATGAGTAGCAATGGAGGGGTCTCTGACTACACAGTATGGAAGAGCAAATAAGGTACGGCAAATGCTCCTATCGCCAAAGTCAAACCGAGATTGACAAGAACAAAAATGCGGTGTAACTTAACAAGACAGGCAGGATGGTAAATTTTCACAACCCGCGCTCGTGGTAACTTCTGTACAGTACAGTACGGGATTACCAGAATGACGAAAGAAAAGCCCCCCAGTCCAGGAGGCGCAACGTTCCATCCAGTTGGGATGACGCTTGGCGGAGATTGAAGTGGACGAAGGAAATCTCGGTCATTCCGAGCCAACACTTATCTTTTCCTCCTCTATCAGCATACCCATTCATGCCATTATAGTAGGTAGGGTATTCGATAGAAGGTCTGACGAGTAGTTAAGTGTCGCTCAGTTACTACGTATGTGGGCAATACCATGTTGATCCACCTGCCTTCTTTCTGTTACAGAATCTCGCATACGTCATCACTACCTTCAACAACTCGGCTCTGTCACAAAGGAGAATCGAAGGATAAGAGCCAACGAGGGGAAACAAAGAGGTCAAGCGATATTGGAGACAAATTGCAAGACGAGATTGAGATCCACTGGTAGCCTTCTTCGTGGGACTGTAGGGTTATGCGGCCGTTGACAGCAACTGGTATCTAGGGAAACATACAGTACCGGTAAATATCGATACATACTGTTCTATACCATCCCATGGATTTGATACATCTGCGGTACGCTAATTTCAGAGACAAGCTTCCTTTTTGTGACAGCATCAAGTATGCTGGTTGAGTCTTCGAGAGTCTTACCCGGTTTCTCTTGCCTATTTGTCGAGTTGCCATACTTTTCTCATGGCCAGCCTCGAGAGCGTATCAAGTGCGGTACCAGATTATGCACCACAGCATGACTGCATGATGTCATGTCCGTTGTGATGGTGCACCAACCCTTCGATCTCGTTGGAGTGTAGATGTTCGCAGTCCAACTACGGGAGTTAATGTAGCAAGCAGAAGCAAGCAAGTTGAATCCTCGTCCTAATGCACCGCGGAGTGAGTATGCTTCAGTAGGCCCAAGCCCTAGCTCAACCTGGGATGAGAGGAGTAATAGCTAGTAGTCTTATGCATGGATGCTCTCATGGGGAGGAATGGGATTGAGCCCATGTCGGTAATCGTTGGGGACCGCTGGAGAAAGACCTCAGCCGCAATTGAAACACTACTCGTACATAGACATAGAAACAGAGTTCTTCGCAGAGAAAGGAACATAGCGTAACCGTCCGCGGATAGGATAAACAACTCGATAACGGGGCGCTTTTAGGTAATCATAGGTCATCGAGCTGGTCATCAATGAGTTGAGGTCATCAATGAAAGTGCGAGAGTTGTGCTTTGTCAATTATACCGGTACACATGTATACTTTCCCATAGTACGAGGATGATCGTAGCATGGGGGTGCTCGGGTGCAAGATCACGGCTGAAAGGAGGCCGCCATCGAAGACTTCCAATGGAACTTTTGGAAGCCTGTCAAGAGTGGGTCACCGCCGTTTGGGGGCCGAAACCCCACGATTAGATTAAAGAAGCTGAGCAGAGCCCCTCCTCCCCCATCAAGTACGTAGTGAGGGACTGAGCCCTGCGAGTGAATGCTTGCCTGAAATGTGCATGTCGCCCAGTTCAGACCGTAGCGATGCAACCTGTGCAGTGGATAAGGTCGATACTAAGTCAACTCGCGAAAAGCATTGTCTTCATCCAATCAAAATTGCATGATCTCAACACGTGCGGCCATTTTAGTAGGATATCATGCTCTAGAGATACTAATCATGCACAAAGTAGCCATCCTTGGTCCTTTTGGATGATCGCTAGCTTGGCTGATACTAACCCAGTGTAACGGGAGTCTTTTCCTCGAACGACAGGTCTCCCGTCAAGAAAGAAAAGCGAGCCATATGGTCACGGGTTTGAAGATGCCAAACCTTGTCTACCTAACTACCGACTTCGTGGCACGCCAGAGCGCAGTCAAATGGTGCTCGTATGCCAGCCCGCCTGCAGCCCCTCCTCCTATCGCTCCTTGCTTGGGAGAATTAGCACAACAAAACGAGCCAATTCGTGTTCTCGACTGCCAGATTTTAGTTTCGACCGGAGCAATGGCCTGATCCCTGGACGCGGTTCGGTAGGTCAAGATAAAATCCAGGGAAACGGGAGCGGTCAGACATCACTGACGCACGCGAGACGGCGGCAACCTAAACATGAAAACTTGTCTGAATACACTTTGATCAACATCTTCTTATGCGAGAAGTAGGGTAGTATATCCATGGAAAAGGCTCCTTCCTGCTTATCACATCCCAATGCTGAAGTTAATGTCCGCCGTCCTGCCGCTCTCGAAGATTATGCAAACAAAGTCTGAATTGTACTAGCATATAACTAACTTATCATGGGTGTATCTCACCGGCTGTTCACGGCGATAAGCTATCACGTACTCTACTTCACCTATCTATGCATGCAAAACCAACCCCATTGGTATCGCCATCTCTTCGCAGGCAGATACTGTTCCTTGCGTCATAACAGGGCTGAGATCTGTCGAGAAGCTTTAATCCAGTATTGTCCGTGGCATACGACTGTCGCAGGAACGTCTTTTCATTATTTTTTTCCCGCTACAAGCGCGATGTTGAACACGCACAGAGCTCTGATATGAAGCTAGCAAATGACCTGTCCGGTATCATGGTGTGCTAGATCGTGAGGCTCCTTTTGGCTAGTCTGTCCTGTACTTCGTTTGCGTTGGGGTCTCACATAGTCATGCGCAACGCAAGATCCAACCCTGGCTTACCTAGATCACAGTGGATTTGACGAAACCAACAGCACAGAGTCAATGAGAAAGCAAGACATGATTGCCATCGCTGCCGGTTCTGTGGGTGAGTGAACATGCATTTCCACGATCAACGGCGATGAACTGTTGTCGCTCCCGATCGACGGGAGACCTGAAGAAAGCTCAGTCGATCACCCCGCATTTACTGCAACGGGGTTAAGCAGAATTTACTTCCAGACAGTCCTCGTCTCCTGTCCCCTGTAGCAGAGTCACTGACTCCACCCAAGATCAATGGTTCTAATAGTTGTTGGTGTCTTTTCCAAGCAACAATGTCATTCTCTACAGCCCCTTCATTCATACCACAAAGTACCCCAGAGCAAGGTGCCATAAGAGATGAAGTCTGCCTGCAGATCGTGAGTTACCAGCCACAACCGAAAGAAGCACGTGATA